CTGAGGTGCCAGCACACATGTCTCTGGGGGCTTCTGCGGGCACCAGGAGAATGGACATGGCAAACTATTCCCTGTCCGAAGCAAGATAAAGTTCATTCACCTGGTAAAAGGTAAAGGTAAAGGCCCTCCCGTTGATCGTCGATTTGCTCGAGCGGGCCCAGTAACGTCTCCATTGGAGACTTTGTTGTTACTGTGTCTGGCATATCGAATACTCTTGGTAGCTTGCCGGGCTCTCCGAGAGGGGCGGAGGAATCGAACTCAGGTCGGCCATGTTGGCCGCTTGTAAGGCGAGCACCCTACCCACTGTGCTATCGCTCCATTCACCTGAGAAAATAATTTTTTTTGTTTGTTTTTTGGGCCACACCTGCTGTTTTTTGGGGAGCACTCAGGGCAGGTTCAGGGGGCCATATGGGATGCTGGGGAACTAAACCCGGGTTGAGTGCATGCAAGGCAAGCACCTTACCCACTGTACTATCCCTGCAACCCCAAGAAAATAATTTTTATAGAAAATATCCCAATGTATATAGGAAGCCTGGTTTTCCTAAGGGCATAAAAATATCAGAGTTTTACAAATGAAGGTTCTCATTGTCTCCTATAGATGAATCTAAAAGAATCTAAATCTAAAAGATTTAAATTCTCTCCTCTCTGCTCCCCCACCCCCCAATGTGTGCTCAGGGATCAATCCTGGCTGTGCTGGGAGGATCGGTGAGGGGGTGTATATATGACATAAGGGACCAAACCCTGGTTGACTGTGTGCAAGACAAGCACCTCCCCTCTATACTATCTTTCTGGCCCTGGTGTCTTTTTGAACCACCCACCTGGTGGTCTTCTCTCTAGCTGCCTCACATTCTTTCTAGCTGGGAACCTACCTCCCATTTGAAAGCTTAAATACTTATATTCCTCCATCTGAGCTTCCAGTCTCTTCATTTTTCTTTATTTCCATTGGGCCTGCTCTTCAACTTGAAGATCATTGTCCTATTGATCTCTTCATTCCCTCCCAATCCCTGTTCTCTCTACCAGATCTTTTCTGTCTTGACTTCATTCCCTCACTTAATTCCTGCATCCTGAAGAATTCCAATCAGTTCTTTGAATATTCAGCTTGCAAATTGCCCCTGCACCCTCACTCCTACCAAATCAAATACTTCCAGCCTCTTCTCCTCCCTCTTATCTCTAGCTCCTTCAATCGAGATCTCTCATATCTATTGAATTATTCCATCCACCTTTAGGATATTGTTTCCTGTTTTTTGACTACTGCAACTATTATTTCATTCTTTTCAATATTCTTTTCAACAAGAGACAAAATACTTTTTTTAAGGCTTAATTTTTATTTTATTTTACTTTTTTGGGGTCACACCCGGCAATGCATAGGGGCTACTCCTGGCTCTGCACTCAGGAATTACGCCTGGCAGTGCTCAGGGGACCATATGGGATGCTGGGAATCGAACCCAGGTTGGCCGCGTGCAAGGCAAATGCCCTACCCACTGTGCTATTGCTCCAGCCCCTGAGACAATATTCTTGAAAAAGTGTTCTTTTCACTGTACAACTTTATCTTCTATTCTCTTTGGAGTCAGAATTTTGCCTTTACTATCCCGCCAAAACCAACCTCTCTCCAGATTAACACTGACTTTTCCATCACCAAATCCAATCACCATTTTTTCGTTTCTTATTTTATTTGAATTATCGCTAGCAGTGAGACAATTTCTGATCTTTACATTGGTTGCCAGGACAACAGGACTACCTGATTTTTCCTCCCTCTTTTTTTAGTTACTCCTCAGTCTCTTTTTGCTGGTTCCTGCTCATCCTTCTAACCTCTACATATTGAGAGCACATCATGGCTGCATTTTTTAATCCTGTCTCTTCTCTACTCATGCCATAGATGACCTCATCCTTTCCTGCCTGAAATTACTACATACATATTGATAGACCATCTCTTTTTTTAACTCCAGAATGTTATATCTGTCAGCCTAAACTCTATAATTGGATGATTAAAAAGAATACTCCAATGAATGTACACCAAATGTGGCTTCTGATAATTCCTCTCAGGCTCGCTTTTTCCATCTTTACTCATTTAATTACTCCTTTCCTTCCTGCCTTCCACACCCAGCTATGCTCAGGGCTTACTCCTGTCTCTTAGTGCTTAGGGATCACTCCTGGTGGTGCTCCAGGGGTGCTGGGGATCAAATCTGGGTATCAAACTACATGCAAGACAAGAGCCTTAACCCCTAAACTATCTCTCCAGCCCCTGATTCTTGTTTCTAAACTAGATACAGATTTTCCCCATTTTTACAATTCTTCCCCACCCTATAGGCTTCCAACCCTGACCCAAGCCATCATAATCTCATTTGTTCTTTGTTCTCTTCCCTTGCTTCTTTCAGCCTCTGTAGCCAGCATGATCCTGTTAAAACACGTCAGTGCAGAAGTTAAGCTATCAATATTTGCAAATAACATGATAATATGCATATAAGCCATTAAAGACTCAAAAATAAAAAACCTATTATGAGAGGTGGAAAAAACAGTACAGAGAGTAGGGTGCCTGTCTTGTACATGGCCGGCTAGGATTTGATACCTGGTATCTCATGTAATTTTCTAGCACTGCCAGAAATGACCCCTGAGTGCAGAGTAGAGAGTAAGCCATGCTGGGTGTGGCCCCCAAACCAAAACCAAAACCAAACCTCTTAGAAACAATAAACCAATATAATGAAAGTTATAAAATCAACACACAAAGATTGGTTGCACTTTCATGTGCAAACAATAAACTAGAAGAGAAACAGAACAAAACCAAACCTTATTTACAATAGTGTCCCAAAAAGTACAGAAGAATCAACTCCCCAGTGGAATTAGTTTCTGCCTTTATTTATTTTATTATCTTTTTAAAGCTTGGCAGATTTTATTTATTTTTGCTTTTTGGGTCACACCCAGTGATGCTCAGGGGTTACTCCTGGCTCTGCACTCAGGAATCGCTCCTGGCGGTGCTGTGGGACCATATGGGATGCTGGGAGATCGAACCTGGGTCGGCCGCATACAAGGTAAATGCCCTACCCGCTGTACTATCGCTCCAGCCCCTAGTTTCTGCCTTTACATGCCCCCATAACCCTTTCCTTGGTTTGTTTTGGGGCTACACCTGCAGGTGCTTAGGGATGAGCCCAGGGCCACAAGCAAGGCAAATGCCTTTACCACCCCACAGCTGTCCCACCCCACAGCCCTTTGTTCATCTTTTTTTCACTTGTAGCACAAATCCTACTCAATAATCAATATGCATATAATCTTTCAACTAAATGTGGAATATATGTCCCAAACGACACTTCTCTTCCAAGTGTCTGACCCTACTTTATAAGGTCCTGGTACTCATCATTCTTTATTTTCCTTAGAGGTCACCACCTAAAGACCTTCAAGACATGAGATTTGGAAACTTGTAAGAAAGTGCTGTAATAATCTAAGGAAGAAAGGAGGGGACCAAGAACCAAGGGAATGAGAGTGAAGAGTAGGAATCTGATACAGAAGAACTTTCTGAAGTAAATTGGGAAGGGTTTAGTGACCAAGTGTTGGGGGACTGGAGAGAGGGCCTGTAAGAGATGATGATGAGCCTTTGCTCTCACATAAATAGTGACACAGCATTGGTAAGCTATGGTCTCTCTTGACTAAAGAGCCAAAGAAAACAGAGGCCCCAGCTGGGTGAAGTAGCTCAAGCCCTTCCTTCTCTCCTAACACCACACTGCTCAGAGATCTGCAATGGAATTGTGAGCAGGATTAGGGCTAGAGATCTTGAAACCACATCTTGGGTAGCAGATTACTTTGGGCTACAGTTACACTGTTTCTTCTAATCCAGTGACATGGGGACTGACCACGGACAGTTATTGATTCCCTATGACTTAATCCTCCTATCTGTAAAACCAAGATACTATTTCGACTTTGAGAATGAAGGACTCTGATAATGAAAACTTACCTTACATAGGCAGTCCAGCAAATGTTTGTGCAGTGACAAACGAACGACGGGTAGTAGACTACAGATCTCAAGGGAGTGAGGGCAAGAATTTCAGAAAATTGCAGAAGGGTCACACTTTGGGCTCACCTGGGTGCTGGAAGGAGGGAATGAAACCCACACTGGGCGCATGCTTAGCATTCTAATTGCTATACTACCTCCTGCCCCCAGCTCCCACACACACAGCTAACAATTCCTTTTATTTATTTTTAAAATAGAATCATTGTGAAATAGTTTCAAAGCTTTCATGATTGAATTTCAGTCATACAATGATCGAACACCCATCTCTCCAAGCAGTGTACATTTTCCACCACCAATGACCAATGTCCCCAGTATCCCTCCTGCCATCCGCACCCCACTCCACCCCCTGCCTCTGTGCCAGGGACCTTCCTTCTCTCTCTCTCTCTCTCTCTCTCTCTCTCTCTCTCTCTCTCTCTCTCTCTCTCTCTCTCTCTCTTTTTGGGCATCATGGTTTGCAATACAGATACTGAGTGGTCATCATGTTTGGTCCTTAGTCTTCTTTCGGCACACCTCCCATCCGGAGTGATCCCTCCAACCATCATTGACTTAGTGGTCCCTTCTCCATTCCAACGGTCTTTTCCTCCAACTCATGAGGCAGGCTTCCAAACCGCAGAGTGATCCTCCTGACATCGCTTGACCTAACTACTCCTGATCCACATTTTTCTCCTAATATTTTAGCGACACTTATCACCCAATTTTTCTGAACCATCTTGGAGCTGCAAATTGCTCTGCCAGGAGAGGCGCTCATCCCCAAAGCTCTCCATGCCTCACCTGCTCCGGAAGCTGAACCACAGTCAGGTGTCCTAGGCAACACCATCAACTTCCGGCGTGAGGCTGGGTTGTGGTTGGCTGAAGGCCACACTTCCGCCTCCCCGCCCGCGCAGGCGCAGTGCATACCGGCGAGGGCGCGCGCCCACAACCTGCCGCGCCCCGGCGTGGCGGCCCCGAAGTGCCGTAGCTCCGCTGCTCGGACCCGGGACAGCCGGGCCCAGAGGGGCCGGGCCGGGTCTGGACACCCAAGCGCTCAGGCTCGGAGGAGAGAAGCCCCGGCGGCCTCTGCCCACGCGTCTCCCGAGCCGCCAAGCTGGAGGTGGACCTGGAAGCCAGTGGGGGCGAGGCCCCGGCTGCCGAGCAGCGGCTCCTGCACGGCCCGGGCCCCGCGGAGCTGGAGCCGGAGCCGGCGGTGGTGGAGGCTTCCCGGCGCAGCGAGCCGAGCGGGGGCCGGCTGCGCTGGTTCGTCACGGTGGTCCTGTGCGCCGCCTTCCTGGGGCTGGTGAGAGCCGGGGGCTGGACCCCTCCTGCGTCCCGCGTCCCGCTCCCGAGGACGCCCAGCCGTTGCGCTTCTTGGAGTCTCGCCTTCGCACTCGTAAATTGTATCTCCTAGAGCCCAAGCTACTTTGTGGCCCGCAGCCTCAGTTTCGCTACTTAGTAAACGGACGAAGGTTTTACTGCTCTCGGGAAATCATTTTCCCGGTTTGCGATGATGATCTCGGTGTAACTCTCCAGCTTTAGCCACTTCTTGTTCTCCCAGAGGTGTTCATCCCAGAGGGTGGTCCCAATCTATAGCCTGTGTCTTCCCCCAAATTATTTCACAAGGGTCACAAGCCCCTTCCTTCCTTCCTTCCTTCCTTCCTTCCTTCCTTCCTTCCTTCCTTCCTTCCTTCCTTCCTTCCTTCCTTCCTTCCTTCCTTCTTTCCCTCCCTCCTTCCTTTCTTTCTTTCTTTCTTTCTTTCTTTCTTTCTTTCTTTCTTTCTTTCTTTCTTTCTTTCTTTCTTTCTTTCTTTCTTTCTTTCTTTCTTTCTATTTTGAGAGGGAATTTACTTATTCTCATCAGACCGAAGGTAGTTAAGCTCATATTTTGCAGAGGGTGCAATTTAGATCTGGAGAGGGGAATGTTACTTTTCTGGAATCGCAGCAGGTTAAAGGGTAGAACCAGGAACGTCTCTTTATTCTGTCCGTAGTCCCGAGTAAATAAACGGCAGGGCTTTCTATGTTTGTCCTAAAGCCAGCCTCAAGGCTAGAGGCTCCTTTTGCTCAATCTTTTGGCCACTCAGCTGGTCCGTTGTTTGCGGAAGTGTCTCCCTCGTCTGTCTTGTTTTGACTGTGGTAGGATGGGAAGGATGAATCTTCTCCGGAGAGCCACCTCTGCTTAACTAAAGTTTCCCTGTGAGTACCGATGATTTTAGAAAATCATTGCAGACACGTGGTGACGCTCACTTGTGACAGGCCTTGTTTTGAGCTCCTGGCAGGCAGGAACTAATTGGACTGTAGCTATGTTCAGCCTCCCCCATTGCCCCAGACTCAAGCACTGCTTTTCGAGGGCTCTGTACTTACTCCAGGACTATGAATGCTTGGGCAGGGGCACACCCCAGCGTTCAGAGCAGAGCACCGCATTGGGAATCAGTTCTCGAAGTAGATGGATTAGAAATATTTTGGAGGTTCCCAACAATAGCCTCAGGGAGACAAAGGCAACTTTTAATTCTGGCTAACTCTAGAATACTCTCCTGATAGGTAGTTGGGAGTTTACTTTGAAGAAAAATTCACTTTGATAAATACTTAAAATGTTTTGTCCCGCATGTGGTATTGATGAAATTAAAGGAACCAGTCTGCATCCAAAAGTAGCATGTGAGAACAATCTTTTGATGCTTTGACAAGTTCTTAATATTGAAATTACCTGTACACATGCACGTCACCTACTTGAAAAGTTCGAAACTTTCAAGAGGCCTAGAGATAGTACAGTGAGTAAGGTACCTTTCCCTGTGGCCGTCCCAGGTTCATTTTCTAGCATCCATATAGTCCCCTGTGCCCACCCGGAGTGATCTCTGAGCACAGTGCTGGGAGTAAGACCTGAGCTTAGCTGCGTGTGCCCCCCCCCCAAAAAAAGTCAAAACCAAAGAAATAATAGAAAACAATCTCATGCAATAATGTTAACTAGGAAACAACTGCAGAGAAAGCCAAGGAATTTTTTTTTTGGGGGGGGATCACACCCAGCGATGCTCAGGGGTTACTCCTTGCTCTACACTCAGGAATTACTCCCTGGTGGTGCTGGGGCGGGGCGGGGGGGGGGGGGGAGACACCAAATGGAATGCTGGGGATTGAACCTGGGTCAGCGGCATGCAAAGCAAAAGCCCTACCCACTGTCCTATTGCTCCAGCCCTGCCAAAGAATATTTTATTTTTTGTATATGTTGTCAGAAGTAGAAAAACACTAGGATTTTCACATTAGTAAATTAAGAAACTAAAGTTTTAGTAAGTTTATTAAAGCAGCATGCAGTTTTACTGCTCTACAGCTTAAAGTAATCACATTTTGGGGGCCAAGAGGTAGTACAGTTGGTAAGATGCTTTTCTTGCTCATGCTGACCAGGGTTTAATCCTCAGCATCCCATATGATCCCCTGAATCCCACCAGGAAAGATCCCTAAGCAGAGAGCCTGGACTAAGTCTGAGCATTGCTGGGTGTGACTTGAAACAGCAACAACAAAAAAGTCATCACACTTTTTACATCAGAAATCTCTACTTGGTATTCATTAGCAAATAAACTATTGTTTTAATGGTTGTAAAGAAAAACTTTTGTCTTTTAAATCTTAGGGACTAAGTATTGCTATACTGGGGCCCACGTTTCAAGATCTGGCAAAAAACGTGAACCGCAACATCAGCAGTCTTTCTCTGATTTTTGTGGGCCGGGCCTCTGGATATTTGAGTGGCTCTGTGGTCGGAGGAGTTCTTTTTGACACTATGAATCACTTTCTGCTTTTGGGTGAGTAAACACCAACTTGAGCTGCTTTATTCCTGTCTCTATGGAGGAAGCAGGCCAGCCTGCTGGTTTATTATCTGTGTGTCCCTGTAGAGGAAGTGTTCCAGCCTGGTTTAGGTGTCCTCGTTGGAAGTCAGGCTGCCCTAATACCTGCCTCAGCTTGGCAGGGAACAGGGACTCTGGACCTGGACACCTTGGGCATTTTGATTGACCCCACAGTGGGTTAGAGATGCTTAGTCTTTTTCACCATCTCTGTATGCTGGATCATGTTCTGTTGCTGAGAAGCTCAGCTTGTCAGGACTTAGGGCAGATTTCCAGGGCCAGAATGGGCCAGAATGGATGCCTTGTACTGTCTAGGTTAGATGCTGGCTGAAAATGAAGCAGGTAGGAAAGGTGGTTGAAGTGATGGTTTAGGGAAGAAAGTTTTCTCCTTGCTATTCCGGCGATGACTCTGGCACTCTGCCCCATTCTTGAAATTTACAGCCAAGCGTTCTCTTAAGGCATTTTGAATAAGTTGACATGATTAGAGAAAATGGATTATTGTGATAATTGCTTTGGAAATAATAATTTACTGTTGATGAATAAATACTTCCTTTTGTTCCAAATAGAGGGAAGAATGTATTTTTATAATCCCCTCTCGATTTCCCTAATTTTTTCTATAAACTGGTTAGTTAATTGTATTTTATTTTTCAAATCTTCTACAAACTGCCTAGTTAATTGTATTTTATTTTTCAAATTTTTGAAATCTAAAACACTTTGTATTCTTAAATAAACAACATTTTTTAGCTGCTCTGGGTAAATCCTTGCCATTATTTGTACCAGTAATAACATGTTTTCTTATTAAAATAATTTGCATTTTATAGTTTATAATGTTAAAAATGCTTTTCAGTGAAATGCCCAATCTAGAAGCTGAAACACTCGTCCACTCCATATTACTCAGTTTTATTCTAATCTCTTGAATTTAGGAGTTTTCATGTTGTTGACTTGGTCCATGGCTCTCTGCATGGATATTATTCTGTATGCCTAACTATTTTCTTTCTTCTCAGGAGTCTCAATGTTGGCTACCACAGTGGGTCTTTATCTCGTTCCATTTTGTAAGACTGCAGTCTTGCTGATTATTATGGTGTCCATCTTTGGCATTTCAATGGGCATTCTGGATACAGGTTAGTGAGGTCCCACTTTGGGGTCTGGGAACAGGGACTTTACCAGAAAACTTAACCAGATGAGAAGTTGTCACTTTCAGTGTTTTCTAAAAAGACACTGGCAGGAGAGCTAGCACAGAGGTTAAAGCTCTGCCTTACATGTGGCCAGCTAACCATGTTTGCATCCCTGGCTCCATATTTGTCCCCTGAGCACTGCCCAGATCACCCCTGAGCACAAAGCCAGGACCCTGAGAGTATTTCAGGATTTGGCCCCAAGACAAATCCAGAATAAAGCACTAACCTGTGGGTGGTTCATGAGATTACCGGACCTGAATTTCCTTTTGCCAAGTAGGGTGCCAATTTTTATGCATGTGAATTAAAAAAACATTATTCTGTGGGAAATGGGTTAGCCAGATTTGGAATCCTGTCAGCTGGGAAGTATAGAAAGAGTTAGTCAATTAAAATTTCTAGATGTTTCCTGGATTTTGAGCTAAGAGAATCCTGTGTTATGTATTATTTTCTTCACATCCTTCTGAAAAGTTCCTGCCTTCATAAGGAGATCCCCTTTCATATATCTTGATATATTTTAAGACCTATTTCATAACATTGATGATATTTATTCACTCTTTAACCCTGCATTGTTTCTTTCCTTCTTGTTCTACTATTATTTCTAGTTGAGGAAATATTTTATACTCTCAGTATAGTTTTGGTTGTTAAATTATGGAACATAATTGTGTCTACAAAGAAAAGGAAAAAGGAGTTCAATCCCTGGCATCCCACATGGTCTCCTGGGTACAACCAGGAGTGATTCTTGAGTGTAGAGCCAGGAGTAACCTCTGAACATTGCCAGGTGTGGCCCAAAACCAAAAAAGAAAATAAATGAAAGAACACCCAAGACTTGGCTTCATGTCTGTTGTTTATAGGATGTGCTTTACTTTATTATAGCTTAACATGGTTACGGTTGTAAAGCTTATTGTTTTGATATAGAGTACTGTACCTTTTATAGGAGTGTAGACAGTGTAAGTGCAGATGTTTGAAGGTATCCTTGTTTCTATAAGGGACAGAGCAGAATCCTAAAGTGTACAAATTCCTGAAAATTTCTTTTGTTTCTGCTATATGCTTGGATATTTTTCTCAGTGGGTTACCCATACCTTTGGTAGTTTTTTTTGTTTGTTTTTTATTTTTGGGCTTAGTGATGTCTGGCTTTGTGCTCAAGGATCACACCTGGCAGTCTTGGACCATATAAGATGCTGGGGATTGAACCCAGGTAAATTTCGTGTGAGGCAAACACCCTGCCCACTGTACTATCCCGCCAGCCCCTAGCTTCAGTAGTCTTGCCACTACATAATGATACATTTTATCTTTATTGATGTATATATATTATGCTCATAAGTAAATAAAAGCATGCAGATCCTATCTTCCCCAAACTTCTTACTAGAACTGTAGAGCTGTGATAATGTGCCTGATCTAGGAGGCAGTGGCTTACAGGTTGGTAGAATTCTCTCCATAAGTGTGAGCTGGTACACTTTGTTCTGTGGGAGTTTCTTAATCCTAGCATTCACGACATTTCTTAGCAGTGCTAGCTGAGTATATTATAATCTTGGTCTATGGATTCCTCTTTGTGATGGAAATGAACTACTATTTTCTATATCACTGTGATTAAATGACTCCCTTGCCCCCTTTTATTGGCAGGTGGGAACGTCCTGATCCTGGCTCTGTGGGGGGATAAAGGAGCCCCACACATGCAGGCCTTACACTTCAGTTTTGCCTTTGGCGCCTTTGTGGCTCCATTGCTGGCCAAGTTGGCAATCGGCACAACGGTGTCTGCCGAAAACCACATGGAAGCTGACTCCAACCATTCTGCCCTCATCCAGTCCTCCGGAGCTGACCCAGGCGCTCTGCTGAGAGTGCCTGATGATCTGAATTTATTGTGGACCTACACTGTTATCGGTACTTACATTTTTGTAATTTCTCTCTTTTTTTTTGCCTTGTTTTTCAAGAAAAGCTCAAAGCAGGAAAAAGCTAAAGTGTCTGCCCAGAGATCTCGAAGAGCTAAGTATCACGTGGCTCTTCTTTGTCTCCTGTTCATTTTTTTTTTTTTTTATGTTGGAGCCGAGGTCACATATGGCTCTTATGTTTTCTCCTTTGCCACCACCCATGCTGGCATGACAGAAAGCGAAGCTGCTGGGCTGAACTCCATCTTCTGGGGCACCTTTGCAGCCTTCAGAGGTCTGGCCATCTTTTTCGCTACTTGTTTGCAGCCTGGAACCATGATTGTGTTGAGCAACATTGGCTGTTTGACTTCCTCTATGTTTTTGGTGCTTTTCAACAAGAACCGGACTTGTCTCTGGGTAGCCACGTCAGTGTATGGGGCCTCAATGGCAACCACATTTCCCAGCGGCATTTCTTGGATAGAACAGTACACATCCATCCACGGGAAATCTGCAGCATTTTTTGTAGTTGGTGCTGCCCTGGGCGAAATGGCTATTCCTGCAGTCATTGGAATCCTTCAAGGAGAATACCCAGACTTACCTGTGGTCTTATATACCTCTCTGGGGGCAGCCGTAGCCACTGCAGTTTTATTCCCAGTGATGTACAAATTAGCCACCTTACCTCTTGATCGTGAGCGAAAAGAACGCAGGAAGAGTGAGGACCAGAAAGCTTTGTTGTCTAGCTCTGGGCTGAATGACTATGAGGATGCGAATGAAGAAGATGATGCAGAAAAGTGGAATGAAATGGATTTTGAAGTGGTTGAAATGAGCGATGCAATGATGAGTTCTGTCATAGACACATCTAGGAGATCCTGATGGCACTGGCAGCTGACACATCCAAGCAACACTACTCAGATGCTGTGATGTTGGAGTCTGCACCTCTAGTTAATGCGGGCAGTACTGCTGTCAGCCACTTTCCATGAAACCAGGACAGAAGGGACTTCTACTTAGAGAAGATGGATTTTTCACTTTCTTGAACGTCACCAATTCTAAGAAGCAGAACATAAACAGATTTTCAACTTGCTTTTGGGGAACCAAGTGTCAGAGCACACTTAGGAGCACAGGAGATATCTAATGCTAAATAGTTTCCAAACAGTCCAGAGGCTTCCATGAAGAATCTAGTATATTAGGATTTTATTGTGGGAGCAGTTTTTTTGACATGTGGCTGATTTATGTTTTATGATCATACCTGCCTATAGCATGTATATGAACTTTTTTTTTTATGCTTTTATTTTTGTGTAGGGCACCGTACCCTTGCCCATATGTGCTGGTGGATTCATAGCCATTCTCTCTCATTGATTCTTGGCCTTGTGATGAAGGCTTGAGGGATCAGTTTTCAGTTCCGGTGGTGGTTGGTGGCTACCAGGTGACCACAATGGTGCTTGCAAGCATAGGCCCACACCTGGGGTGCTGGGGTCCCCAGGAAAATACTGGTAGTGCTTCTGGGGCCATAGCGCTGCTGGGGATTATACATAGACCTGTGTATACCATGCAAATACTCCATCTCTTGAGATATCTCCTGTGCTCCTAAGACACTTTGAGGCTGTTTATCCTCCTAGATAAATGTCAGGTGTAAGGGCTAGAGCGAGTGGGGCACTTGCATTCAGCTGACCTACGTTTGATCCCTGGCACCCTATATGGTCCTGCCAGGAGTGGTCCAAAGTGCAGAAACAGGAGTAATTCCTGAGCATTGCCAGGTTTATCCCCACACTCCCCAACCAAAACAATATGAAATTCTCCTAATGCATCAGTGTGCTGAGCAAGTTAACAGTTATTGATACTATATTATTACATAATCATCACAATTGCATATTCATCACATCTTGTTTTCTAAGTTCAGAAATTGTTTTATAACCTTTTACATAGATTCACATAATGGTCACACCCTACGTAATTGTAAAAAAAATTAGGATAAAATCTGTAACAGTTACTTGGCAAAATAATCTATTCTGCCTGTAAAGTTTGGATTTCTGTGTAGATGAACAAATTTCTGTTAACTGATTTACCCTGTGGGTAAGATTGAACCAAAGGATGATTTGTTACTTTTTTGTTTTTTTAAAAGCTGTTTCCTTTTTTATTTTTAAATTTTTTTAAATCATTATTATTTTTTGCTTTTTGGGCCATACCCAGCGATGTTCAGAGATTACTCCTGGCTCTGTATTCAAGAATTACTCCTGGCAGTGCTTGGGGGACCATATGGGATGCTGGGGATCGAACCCAGGTCGGCTGTGTGCAAGACAAACACCCTATCTGCTGTACTATCTCTCTGGCCCCGATAGTTACTTTTGATTTCTAATTTCTATGAAAAGAACTAGAACAGGATGCTGGAGGCTTGTCTTCAAGCCAGTTTAGCTGCTTATCAGCCTTCTGGTTCTGCATTCAGTTTCTTAACTTTTTGTAGCTTTTAAAAATTTGATCACCTCATCTCTGAGTTTATAAATGAGAATAAGATGGTCAGACTAGGAATTAATTAGTTTCTAAATTTGTGCAAGATGTCTGTTAGAACCTAAGGTAAGTGCTACCCATTTTCTTAAATGGAACATGAAGGAAATTTATAGTTTTAATTGATAGGGCTGGAGAAATAGTACAGGGATTAAGGTATTTGCAAAGGACTTAAGAATGTTCACTGAATGTGGAAGCCCCTACTATAGTTCCCAGGTACCTCATAGTCACCTGACTGCCCCTAGGAGTGACCCCTAAGCACTGTGCTGGAAGCAGCCCCTGAGCACTAATAGGTATTCCCCCAATAAAGAAAAAAGATTTCAGAATATGTCTGAAAAGCCAGTGATCTTGGGCCAGAGAAAGCTTGAGCAAGAGGTACTTGTCTTGCATGTGGTCAACACAGAATTCAATCTCTGGCACTGCATGGTCCTTTGAGCACTGGAAGTAACCCCTGAGTACTATAGGGGTTGTCCCCCAAACTCAAAACACTCCCCTCCAAATCAGTGATCTTTTAATATTGCTACTAAGTTCAATAGGAAAATTTTGTATGTAAAATAGTGTCACATTTATAATTGTGTCTATAATAGCCAAAAATATACAGTAATTGTGAGAGCTATTCTGCTTTTATTGATTCTTTGCTATTTTTATACATTGATTTTTTTCTAGTTGTGTTCTGCAAGTTGTGGAGAAACTCAGTTCTGATTTTCCAAGTAGTTCCAGAGTTCCTCCAGGAGTAGGACGGTGGGGGGGTCATCGAGGGCCTGTGCTCACCCTGGTAACAGGGTCTGGGGCTGAGCTTGGTGCCGCACTTCCTCCTCAATGAGACCCCTCAGCACTCACTGGGCCGAGCTGCTGCTTTGACCACAGCGAGGCCAGTGCTTTTCAGTACAGGGAAGTGTCTACCCACCAGGCCACCTGCTCCTTCCTGGGTTTGACATTTGCAGGAAAGCAAAGGAATGAGCAGAGAGTGCTTGGGTGAGGATCAGGGGTCAGGAAGGGCATCTCAGGTGAATCTGGCAAAACTGAGTGGTCACCACTGATACTGACTTGGTAATAGGCCAGTTGTCTCCTCTGTACCAAGTTTCCTGCCAGTACCAGTGATGATTGATGTCTACCTCATGCATGTTGCTTTTGTTTATGAAATGTGTATAAATTTGCTTCCCTTTTCCCCAAGGGAAATAGAAAACCTTTCTGACCACTGGCACTTCACCTTATCCACCTGCCACAGTATCGCTCATATTACTACTGGTCTATGAGTTTGGGGAAGACTGGTAGAGAAACTAAGAGAAAACTATGTTCTTGGCCAGAAAGATGCTCAGTGGGCTGAGCCCTGGCTTTCTGTGTAGGAGGCCTGGGCTGGATCTCTGGCACATTATTGTCCCCCACATACTAATGGAAGTGACCCCTGAGCACAGAGCCAGTAGTAGTCCCTGAACACAGCTGAATATGCACCCCCAAACCAATAGTAAAAATAAAAACAAAGAGCCTGTTTTTGTCCATTTTGCAGTGTATTTTGCTATAGCTAGAAATTGACCCTCTACCATTTACAGCTTCTTTCTCCCACTATTGACATACAGAAATAGCAGCTACTTGTCCACTGGGCTCCAGCTAAACTAGGATTCTGCCTGGGATGGGCATTTAAAGGGTAGGAACTGCAGCTCAGTAGGTGGTGAGTTATAAGGAGAGTGTAGAACATTTAAAATCCCCACTGCTCCTGTCCCTGTCCCCCTAAGTGCCACTGAAATGTGAATGACCACAGTGAGTGAGGACTGTTGAAGTTTGATGATGTATTTCCATATTGGAAGTGTGAGACAGTAGAATTCTAAGAATTAGCATCAATCCAAGCAATTAGTGTCTGCTGATGCTGAGGTGTTCTACTGCCGAGTATCAGTTGACCCTAAAAGTAATAAATTTATGTGATAATATGATATCTCTTTTGATTTTCTAGTGTGGGAACTTGGACTCAAGTGTCCCTGGGCCTGTTTGGTGCCATGGGGCCACGTTCTGGGTGTGTGGGCTGAGTCCTGTCTGGAGCTCAGGGCTCTGTTCGGGCTGCTGGCTTAGAGGCTGCAGTGCCTGGCTGTGGTGGACTGTGGCCAGCCCTGTGCTGGCCATGGGTGCAGTGTCTGTCCCCAAGTCCCTGCAGTTCCGTCTCACCACAGGGCAGCGTCTTCAGAGCCACAGGAGACACCCATGACCTTGATGGGGTCTGAGATAAAGGAGGCCATCAGAGGTTGGCTCAAGGCAAGTCACAACCTTCTGGAAGTTGCAGGGAGAGGGGCTGGGATGTGATTGAGGTCTCACTAGGGTGTGTCTGCTCCACTCTGGGCCTGGGCACTTCAGGATCCAAAGGAACCAAAACATTTGGCTGAGGGAGAGTGAGCGGGTACTCAGAGGGATCACAGGCATAGCCTGCTGGCCAGGACAAACTTGGCCTGTGAGAATCCATTTTGTTTGTAGGGTACTGAATGGGTTACCAGAAGTTACCTCTTTAAAATCTTGATACTTAGTTTTACTTTCTTTAGCATGGTCATTTTACCTTGCTCAAATCAGATTAAGATGAGAGATAAATTCAGTTCAAATGTTTTATAAAGCCAAGAACACTGCAGTTCTCAGTCATTGATTTTGTTTGGGGCCACACCTGACAATGCTTAGGGATCCCTCCTGCCTGTACACTCAGAAATCATACCTGGAGGTGCTCAGGGGACCACATGGAATGCTGGGGATCAGGTCAGCCGTGCCCAAGGCAGGCACCCTACCCGCTGTACTATCTCTCCAGCCCCATTGCTTTCCTTTTTGATGCCTGATTCCATCAGGAAACGTTTGACTGAAGTGGGTGCAGACTTACGTAGATGTGCATAACCACCCCAGCTCTCTGGTCTGAGGTATCCTGACGTACTGCAGTGCAAGCCAAAAGCATACTTTTTATTGTTCATGAGGTTTTTTTTTTTGTTTGTTTTTTTGGAGGGGAGAACTCCTGGTGTGCTCAAGGCTTACTCATTCATAGCTGTGAGTTCAGCGATCACTCCTGGTAGAACTTGGGGTATTATGGGCTTCATGCACAGCACATTCTTGACCCACTGTTCTATCTCTTGTGCCCCCTTCTTTCTTTCTTTTTTTTTTTTTGTTAGTAGTTTTACAGTATGGGGGCTTGTATACAGGGCCTCACACATGCAAAGTGTGTGTTCTGCCACTGAGCCATTTTCATTTTAATTTCTCCACTTGGAATTAGTACATTACGTACCTTGTGTGAAGCTTTCAGTATGTCTTTTAAAAGATCTGTGTGCTTTTTGATTAACCTCCCTTCCCTGAGCACAGAGATCTGCGGTGTTTACTACATTTATTAGCATTCGGGTTTTGGGTTTTTGGCACCAGGAACTGAGCACAGGGGCTTATACATAGGAGAAACACACTCTTGACCACTGAGCCACGGTCCTGGCCTCTTTATTATTGATTTTCTTTCTGCATATGGCTGTTGTGGAATGAGATTACGGACAAACTTCTGATAT